GTTGGGATGACCCGTTGGGCTGCGTGATACCGGGAGTTCGACCGTCCTGGTTTGAGCCTGTGTTGCGAATAACTGCGCGAATACAGTCGCCATCACGCAAAGCATCAGACAGTCGCTTCACGACAAGCATGCCAATGCCTTCACCACGCGCGTAGCCGTTGGCCTGCTGGTCAAAGCTCCAGCTTCGGCTGTCGGGTGAGAGGAAGTTGAAAGAAGACATCATCTTCATAAAATTCGGGTGGAAAACGATGTTGGCTCCCCCAACGAGTGCCTGAGGACATTTGCTCATAGTATGTTAGCTATTGCTTTGCAGATGTGCCCATCAAAAATGATTTAACTGGGCATGGCTGGATATGATTGACCAATCTCTACATATGCATGACAGGACACATACCATGGAAGAATTTCCCGCGGCCAGATCTTGAGCCGCTAGGTGCAAGGCGACCAAGCTGCTGGAGCAGGCCGAATCGAGATTCATAGAGACACCTTTGAAGTTGAAGAACCAGCTCACCCGATGGGCTAGCATTGAGGGGGCAATTCCCATCGCGGCATGGGTGGCTTCGAGCTCAAAGTCCTCCTGTATGACACTCTGGTAGTCATTGGTAAAACACCCCGTGTATACGGCCGTGTTGGTGCCGGAACACTTCTCAATTGGGATGCCAGCTGGACGAGTCATGAGCAAACTGGAATAGGTTCTCGTGAAGGAGGGAGTGGGTACCATCTTCCAATGCGTGGTATGTCGCTTCCAACATGCGTCGGTGCTGTGGATCCATACAGGCAGCCTCTCCAGGCGTGATGGAGAAGAAAGGAGCGTCGAATGCTCCCAGGTCTTCTCGGATGAAGTTACCTCCCCGAACAGATATCTACGAAGAACATCAGCCGTGCGAGGTACACAGGGTCATTAGAGGGGGCGTACGTTACTAGGCCGATCCTTCGACGGGTGGTAGAACGCCTCGATGTTCATCCGATCCGTGGGAAAGTCCGTACTGGCGGATCTTCCGTGGCGGATCATCTCCCAAAAGCGCTCACTGGATGTCGCCTCCTGGGGAAACTCAAAGGCAAAGCCGACAATGGCCAAGGGAACTGACCGGCTGTCGCTCGGGCAGTAGGAATCTTCGTTGAGCATAAGTGGCATTGTGTAGAATCAATAAGACTCTTGCGTAGAAGAAAAGAGAGCTGTCTTATTCCAACAGATTTGTAGCACTCATTGCAGGTTCTAGTCCTTGCCTTATATCTTCTCGGAGAGAGAGGGTCAGCTAACTGGATAGTCCCTAGTTCCATATCAACCCGGGATGGGATTTACACAGTAATTGGATTCTTTCCCTCTTGTCTAAGAGGGAATGATATTACAGGATACTGTAGCCAGTCAAGTAGATGAGTGTTTCCGGACGTAAGAACGCTGCGGCGATGCACGGACCGGTTTGGTGCAAGGAGTGCTCGTAGGCCGCGCCATTTCGCCTCCATTGCGTTCCAACGATAGGCTGAAGCACAGGACAACTGCGACCTCATTAATTCTCTGCCGCCGATATGGCCTCTAAACTAGATTCCCAGGACCCATCAGGAGAGGGCTGTGCCCAGAGTGTACAAACATGCCGTTTATCCGGTACCATATCGAAGAGGCTTGGGTTGTCGATGGCCCCCAAGCGAGCACAGGTGATTCGCATACCCGCCGCGACTGGCTGAGTGAGGCTAGAAGCAATAACATGGTGAGCAATGATTGGTTGGCTGTATGTATGTGATTGTTGACCAACATGGATGAACAGAGAGGGGGTGGTGTTGTCTGATGTTGGCTGTGCCACCGTTAGTGCAATTAGGGCAGACTGCTTAGACCTTCAGGCTCCCAGCCGTCACCTGGAGGAGCTTAATGATCCCGGAATAGTGTACCTGATACAGGTTTGCGCAAAGGGGGCTTATCTGGGGGGTGGGGGGGTCACACCATGGAATGATTGGGAGCTTCCGAGTCAGTTCCGCCCGTAGCGCTGAGGCTTAATTTTACTACTCACATTAGGGCCTTGGGGGCCGTAATGAGACAATAGCATTACAACCTGTTACAAGGCGTCTGCAGTAAGTCGTTCGCTGTACTGCACACACAGAAATCCCCTCCTTATCCCACCTCCGTCGAAGTCTGTTAATCTGGCAGCGAACCGCCGCCTGGTTGAGAAAGAAAATAAGGTACCTCCGGGCTAGTAAAACCATCATATATTTTTTTACTGATAAATGCCTCTCCCCTACCATACCTCCTCCGGCGTAATACTAGCTCCTATGATTACAAGGAATGCTGAAACGGTATGAATACTCCTTCTGATCACAACTGGTATTGTTTGATAGACTGCATCCATATGCATCCATATGCATCTACTACTTGGTGTTATGGGGCCGTCCCCACCATCGACCGGTGGTGAAGAGCAGGAAGAAAGAGGGGGTGGGGGGCAAGGGCTGGCTTATCCTGCACCTCGACGACTCTTGTCACTGCCCCAGAACCTCCCTTCTTCCGGGGCGACGGGTTCAAAAGCCATGGTGAGAGAAATCTAGGGCCCATGATATCCTCCCGCTCCCCCTTTCTATTTCCACACAACGCTTTCTCTGCGAGTCTCCCCTCTCATCAACTAGCTCTCTCATATTTCATAATGTACACTCGACGGGAAGAAGACAATCTCACTGCATCCAAACAGCCCTTGCTGTATGGGATGAACATTCTGTTCATGATATTGTCGACCATTGCGATTGTTCTACGCTTCATCTCGCGACGAATCGGCAGAGTCCGCTGGGGCCGAGATGATACTCTCATCGTCTTAGCCTGGGTGGCCACCATGGCCTTCTTCGTTATAATGATTGTTGACGTCCGCTACGGAGGCACCGGATTGCATGTCACGTACATAATGGAGACTGACCCAACCCAATCGGTCGTGTTCTCCAAACTCATCATTGCGGTTTCAATAGTGTGGTGTGTCTCCACAGCTCTCTCGAAGTTGACCATCCTAAGCCTCTACATTACCCTTTTTGGCATCAACAAGTCAGCGCGCTATGCTTGCTATCTCACTGGGGCTATCGTCATCGGCTATTCAGTCGGGGGATGCTCAGCGTGCTTTGCCGTCTGCAGACCTCTCAAAGCCCTCTGGGACACCAACGTCAAAGGCACCTGTTTCGATCTAAACATGCTCCTCCGATGGATCCGACTTCCAAACATCTTGTCGGATATTACCATTATGATCATCCCGATTCCGTATGTACTGAAGCTACAAGTCACGGGACGTGTCCGCCTCGGCCTTATCGTGACCTTCCTGTTTGGCAGTGTGTGAGTTGAGTCCGCTCCCTTCTCGTGCGCCAGACTCGCTAACCCGAGAGGTTTTGTCCTGTAGGGGTTTTATATTTGGTGTCATATGCTGGAGCGAGTACTTGAAGACCGATGCGGTGGCCGACAAGACGTGGTCGGCCATCTACATCTTCGTCTGGAGTGACGTTGAGGCGGGCATGTATTTCATTGCCACTTGCTTCCTGGCCTACCAACCCCTGGTGAACCGCATATGGTCGCGGCTGAGCTCGAGGGTGGCTTACAGCAAGACTGGTGAATCAGCCGGTCAGCCGGAAAACACCACCGACCGCAGTACTACGCCTTTTGCCTTCAGCCGTTCCCCTACTCGGTACGTGGAGATCACCAAAGAACAGAGCTTCTCCGTCTCTGTGGGGGACCAGGAGGACACCATTGGATTGGTGCCGGTGGCGCACACCATACCGGAACCTCAATTTGGATCCCGTTTGTCCCGTTAGTGGACCCATTGGGGGAGGCGGAAGTTGCAGGTGGGCTGAGGTAGAAGATGCAGCGAGAGGGAGAAGGGTGGGGGTGGTGCTGTGGGTGGTTGCCATTGACATGTAGCCAGTCGTTAGATTGTATAGTTTTTCCCGCATGCATGATTGCTATTCCTCATTAAGTTGCAGTTGCGCGTACATATCCTACGCGAGCTCTATCACACATTAATAGTTCCGAAACTAGTTAACTAGGTGTTGACACTTGCTATGTGAACTCCACGACTGGTAAGCGGGTCCCGCAGATAGATGCCCATTGAACTAACTTATCTAAGTACTGGTACGGGATAGCTCTGTTCGGTGATTCAGCCTAACCGATATATCCGAGCTGGCATATCAACACACATTTTGGCTGTACGCCATTCTTGATCATCTCGCGCGGTGATCTGCGAGCGCATGAACTGTGTGTAGACCAAGAAAGCCTCGCTGTCAGCCAGAGTTTCACTTCTCCTACCTATCCTGGTCCGAGCGGGTTATACTGGGCTAACCCTGGATAGGAAACTCGTGCGTAGCTAGCCCGAGTAGCTTGGCTGCTGGACGATATGTGGAATTCGGGAGCGTACCCCTGTGAACACATAGCAACCAATAAGAAGACTAGACACGGGTAGTAGCAAGCAAACAGTCCTTTCACAAACAGGCACGGACATCCCGGGAGGGAGACGGATCGCCCCACTAAGCACGGTGGCACGCGCGGGAAGGAAAGTAAGCTCTAGGACATTTCGGCCCCCTACGCTAGTGGAGATCCCTGTTTGGTGCAAACAACCGCCTCATGTAGGTGAGAAATTAGTTTGAGGTGTTGACTTAGGCTAACCATTTCGCATTGGTCTTACGCGCCCAGCTTAGTACGGGTATTGTAACCGTTTTCACACATAATACTTTTCCGCTAGTTGGGAATGTTGTGAGCCCTTATGCAGCATTTTATTATACAACGAAGAGTGGACTGGGGCTGAGATGCAGCTGGCCCCAGTCAGATATAGGTAACTGTTGAGAGGACATGGATTTCACTCCGGGAGGGAGGGATCATTATAAATATTCCTTCATTTCCTCATGTCCTTTCTCAACTATCTCTCTCAAATCAGCCGCAATTCCATATCCTCTCCCCCTCTCTCTATATCTCTATCTCTCTATAGTTGCAAGTTCCATAGTCCCTCCACTCATCCAACACTTTCCCCCCAAGCTCATAAAAATTTCTCAACATGTCGGAAAAGCCCAATTACGTTCTTACCCGGGATTATCTCGATAACAATCGGTAAGTTTCCCCTACGATGCCATGGTGAGCGCGACAAATAGATAGTAATGGTTGGGAATCATTTAGATTGAATCTCCACCACTACCTTATCACCGAGCTGTTCGGATACCACATCCATCCTGACATTCCTGTCAAGGACAACAATAATCTTCGCATTGCCGATGTAGGCACAGGAACTGGGTATGTGGTAATACCTATCTGTTCCATGGACCTCTGAGAAAACCAAACAGACTAACGTGACCATCGTATAGGGTCTGGGTAACAGACCTAGCCCGCCGACTGCCGACCTCGGTGCAACTGGATGCCTTGGACATCTCATTCGATTCGGCTCCCCCTGCGGAATGGCTTCCGTCAAATGTCAAAACCTTCAAGTGGGATGTCAAGCAGGAGATCCCTGAGGAGCTCGAGGGCGTTTATGATATCGTCCATATTCGGCTCTTCATCTTCGTCCTCCTGGACTCTGAGGTTCAGCCTGTCCTTGAACGGATTTTGAAACTCCTAAGTACGTTCCTTGCACTTCAACCCCCATCCACCCTTCTGCGACTCGACCCTCTTTATTTTGGAGACCAAGCTAATTTGTCCCACGCTAGAACCGGGCGGCTACATCCAGTGGACTGAAGTCGACATGGGATCCACTAGAACTGAAAGCGCCAACCCAGCCAACAGCACGGAGGCTTTGACAAAGATGATTCGCCTCTCAGAGGGTCGGGATGAGCGACTACGTCCACGATGGGTTCCCAGCCTGGCGTCTAAGATGGCCGCCGCCGGGTACGAGAATATCAAGGAGGATGCCCGCGATGCGCCTCCCCATCTAGCCCTGGCGCTGCATGATTGCAATATCATGATCCATGAGACATTTGCCCGGAAATTTAAGAACCCGCAGACAGCTCAAGTGTTGAACGAACTGATCCCCGAGGTGGAGAAAGAGACCAAAGAGGGTTCCTGTTTGTCGCATACGAGATACACTGTCGTGGGAAGAAAGCCTCTCGCGCAGTAAATTGTAGGCCCGGAAATGATCACAGAGCCAAGGCCTTCCGCCATGTACGGTAAATCCTTATATATATATCTATCGGAACTCAATTGATCAGGCCGATTTATCGGTTTCTCCTCATTCCACCTTTATGGTCTCTGTCTTTTACTATGCCGTATATGCCGTAGCGAAAAATCAGACACTCGAGGTGTCCAACACAAGCCTGGCCTATCGGTTGGTTAGCGTGCCAGTGTGTTGCTTTGTGAGCAATACCTTTCGTTGCTCGCATGATTCTCTCTAGATTCGTCGTTTTCTTAACAACATAGGTAGTACCATATTCGGGAAATGATCAGCAATGACGTGTGGGCTGTGTGCACAGCGGGAAGAACAAACACCAGCAATATGCCAGACCAAACCTGCTCATAACTCCATGAAAACCCTTGACGAGAAAACTTTTTACAGCCCACTTCACAACCCGAGATGCTAGGCTCCGGTCTACTAGCCAGACTTCAATCTGACTGCGGCTCCCAACAGCCCTTTGGGTAGGCATGAAACCAACCAACCACCACCAAGTGTGACAACCCTCCACAGCATGCGTCACATAGCCAAGCCTCGTCATTTCCCATATCCGGCTTGGTACACGTTGCTACAAACGCGTTACTGGGCTGTGTGGAATCCGGATCATGAATACTTGCATTAGCGCCCTGTCTTTTGGATGGCGCTAACTTTCCTGCTCCTTCCCATTAGTGCTTAGCACAACTCAGCCCCTCTCGGCCAAATGCATTAACCCCTCTTTACGGCTCGCAACAAACATTCCTCAAGATACTTATTGGGTGACTTTGGGTAATATATGACATGAATGAGCCAATCGCTCCTTGCATATCTCTTATGCGAGAAACCCTGTACTGTATCAATACTACTGCAATCTGCGCGTCCGACCGGCGGTTGAACCGGATAATAATGATATGTCAGTACACGCTCCGTAAATCTCCGGCGGTGGCAATCTCAATATTCTACCCCCAAGCTGTACATTGGGCTTATTGGAGTTAGGTTTACATTGGATTTGGGTTATTTGGGGGTTATTCAAGAGTGGACGACTAAGATAGTAAGTAGGGTCATGACTATACTACAGGCGAACTTGCTAAGTCTTTCATGTCGAGTTATGCTTGGGACTACTGCTTCTATTACCGCAAGGCTTTCACTGAACTCACAGACAGGAACCCCAAATTATAAAAGATCACTGACATGAAACGGACTAGAAGTAAGTTATGGTAAAAAGATTGAACGCGCGATTAGACTGATTGTCTTGCTAGCTAAAAGACTATGAATTGAGTGCCACATATTTTTAAAGTATGCGAGTGGCAGCTTACCCGATCTTCGAAAAATGTTTCCGATCGTGCGTAGACAAGATCCGTGCACATCAACAGAATAGTTTCTTTCACAACTATCAGATATCCATACATCGAAACAACAAGATTATAGTCCTAATTATAATACATTACTTTATTTATAGAAGTGAAATCAAGAAATTCACGCTGGTGGAGTGAGTAGCAAGTGAATCAAGCAATGAGATTTCCCGAGGAAGAATCTGATGAGTCTCAATATTATATATTAGTAGTATACATCGCAGCCCTTGAAGTTGGAAGTACTAGTCTGTAGCATGGCACTTGCCCCCCCCCTCCCCACCAAGAAAGTGTCATTTATAATCTTCTATGCAGTGAAAGATAGTGACCACATTGCACCTGTGAAACACACATACACACAAAAAAAAAAAAAAAAAACTTGAACGTATAATCTTGTGATCGTCCGAGGCATCACTGCTCGTATTCTCAGCTCACTTGATAATACGCGCTACGTAGGGAGCAGATACCGCTATGTCGAATTAGCTATCAACATGACAATACCTTCACAAACCCCAAAATTTTCAGTGGCCAATCGCTAGTTCATGATTGATCTTCCCTACCTCGTCACACATAGTGAACATCAAGCAATGTCCAGTCTCAAACTCACAAGTGCGCACCAAACATCCAGCATCCCGCATCTCCTCGACGAGCTCCTTCTGGTAATCATAGGTCATCGTAAAATCCTAAGACGAGTAAATGTATCCGATCTGAGGGATACCCCTTTCCTCTGGACGCCAAGCTACATGATAAAGCTTGTCATCGAAGCCATTCCCCTTCCAATGCTGGAAGGATGCAATGTGGGCTTCAATTGCTTCGTCTGATCTTCCGAATGGACCCACAGCCACGCCCTTAGGGTCCTGAAGATGCAAGTCTAATACTCGGAAAGTCAATGGCCACGACTAAAGAGTAACCGTGGCCATGGCCGTGCGAGATGACGCCTTCCACCATGGAGACTCCTTCCGTTGAGGGCAAATTCGGCAATATACACTGATTGGACGATGCCACCAGGGAGCCCTGCGCCCGACGGGGCTGTGATACCAATGCCGTTCGAGAGACCATTGGTATCCACCTGGTCGCAATAGGAGTGGAATAGGACCAGAACTTCGCGGGCCAGGAGAAACGAGATCCCTAACGCAGGTGCTGGTCCAGTCACTGTCTTCCTTTAGGTCAGCGTTTGGAGGCCGAGCGCCATTCATTGATGGGGTGCGAGGGACGGGGACTTCGTGACGGAAGCGTTGGAGGGTGGTGGTGAACGAGTCATAACACGATAGCTGATGCCAGGCAACTGAAACGAAAACGATGGTCGGGGTGTGGGGGTTAGTGGTGCTGGTAGTGATAATAACCATGTTGGATTTCTGGCACAGCTTAGGGTCGCCAGAATGTTATGGATAGGATTTGAGAAGCTAGAGGGATGGTAGGATAAGAGAGCATGGATAAATTAATCGGAAAGATGGTTGGTTTTCTTGGGCTGAAGAGTGGCAGAAAGAGCGGATCGAACCATGCTGAAGTAAAGGCGTGGGAAGTATTATATCTATTAAATCAATAATGAGACATAGGGATCTTGTGAAAATAACCTAGAGCACACAATTTCAATAGGAATGCAAATATGGCACTGGGTTGTTGGCACTTTGTCTACCACCCAACACCCCTCTCAAGTGGACCCGCAACAGCCTCTATCATTCCTTCCATTTTCCAACTGGCTCTTGTCTGTATACCTCAGTCCTCAATGGTTGACATGAGCAAATAAGTGAACACAGAATAATGTTACTTGTTTACAGGGATATTGGTTCTGGCACAACTCCATTTTATTGTGAACACGAGTCACGTCCCGCAGCATTGCCTACTACACTGGGGCCTGCGGTTCCATAACCTGTGTAGTGTCTTGACCTGAAGCCAATTACGTGATATTAAATGGATCTAAGGCCCCAATCCTCTGTTACGAGTTCTGGACAAGGGATCGGCGGACAAGGGCACGCGAGTTCTGGTTTAGGATGACGTGTACTCGTTGCGATATCGTGGCATTGTGGATTATATTTGGCCTGCGGGCATATCTAGGAATGACAAGTTGAAGAAGCTATGGAGGAAGCCTCAACGTCACCTTTCTTATGTTTCGGTAGTAACAATGTTTGCGCCTGTATGAGGACTTGCTCTGTCGTCCAGAAGTGCAGCTATGGCTCCTATTCCAAATGCCAAGTAATCGAACCATCTACAGTTGGAGATAGCAATGGACATCAACTCAGTCGATCCCTGACGCTCAATATCCTGTTCTTTGGCCGCTGATGCATAGAACCGAGAAGAAATCCCATTTTATTTCGTAGGAAAGAAGTTAATGTTCTTGAACCCAAATAAAATGAAGAACGAAGAGCTGAAAGTAATTCTCGAGCGATAGGCCGGAGGCTCTTTGAGCAATGACGCCGTCCCAGTCCAAGCTAACTTTGTATTGAAGTTTGGTACCAGGATAAACGACCAACGGACGATAGGTCACCTCACGCAAACGTCGTCAAGCTCGACTGGCCGTGACCAGTCGCGTGATTTGTAACTTTCACAGGCGTATCCAGATCCGAAGCCAGCTATTGAATCAGTTAGCGACAGCATGTTAATGGAAAGAGATACGATTCCGTCTCACACATATGTTCCAGGAGCACCTGCGGGGGAATGCTCCGTTGCTTCGGCACCAAGTGATACTTTCCATCTGCAGTACATTTGCGAGCTTTGACATCTCTGAGCTTGGGTACTACTGACTAGCTGCGCACTATTTTCTATCTCATGCGTTCTACGCTCTACCGGCTGCATGCATATGAAGCTGGCGATCAGCTCAACGCAGGATGCAAGCCAAAAGGTGGCGTTCGTATCGGAGGAGAGTCATACATTCGAAGCCGTCTGACCACGTGCATGGCTAAATATCGTCTTTCCAGTCCTGTTCTTAGCACAGTATACGAGATCGAGAATTTATGAGACCCCATTTGTTGGACCGTCTATTTCGGCTCCAGAAGCAGAATGAACGACCGTCAGAAGTTGCATAGTAAATGTGGCATGCACCTCTTTCAAGGATGTTCCTGTTGGATAGATGATATATGTTATCATCAATCGTAACTTTGTAGCTCCCGACCAAAACATACCGGATGAGGAAGATGGGCGGGCAACCGCACCATTTTGTCAAGGGCGTGCCTTGTGACGGATATTGACACTACAGGCTGATGCTGTGATGATGAAGTTAGATTATCTTATCTCAACTATGAGTTATGTAGCAATTGAGCTACTTTGGTGTATCCAGCAACAGGGCCTGCGACGTCGTTGCCGTCGCCCCCGAACGGAGGAATGGAGACGGTGGCAGCAGACAACTATTATATTCTATGTCGACGAGCCGTGGCGGAAGTCACTGTGATCGGTGTTGCGGACGACAAGACCTCATGGGTCAAGGATTCTGTACATTTCTGTCGCTCAAGACCATAGAAAAGCCATTAGAGATTGAACAAAACTTTTACTGTATACTAGGAGATTGACTGGTCTCTTTGCAATCTGCAAGAAATATGACCCTTGAAAGGGCATGGTTGTCCGGGAGCTTCCGAGGACAATAAGATGCAAGATTGTTTCCTGTGTCCTGAAGAAGATAGCAACTGGTGGTACTAACTTTTGAGGCATGAGGCATAAAGTGCATCGTCCTTGATGACTGGCAGAAGGAATCATGTTCGAATCCTATGCCATGAGTGTGCATTACTGGAGAGCCCCTGCCAATGTAGCAAAATTAAGATACTGGAAAGTTCAATTTCCTTTCTCTAAGATGCGAGTGCTCCATGGAGCTAGAGTGACAGGCCACAGATAAACACAAATGTAGGTTTTCGAATTATTAACCTTAACGTAAGTACTGCAATTGAGATTGTGTATGTAGATGCGACGCAGACACGGAATGTGTCCGACTTCTAATTGTTGTTGCAGATTATAGTCAGTGATAGATTCATTAAAAAATATACCCAGTCTTGCTTGCATCTCCGTCAGCAGTATTATGTCAAACCCTCCATACAATGATAGTGATCACCGCATTAACCAGCTTAATGGTACTCTAACAGAGCTATTTCTCACTTTCATGAAAAGGATATGCTCCTAGTGAAGACGAGCTGGATATATTATATATTATTCTCACAGTTAGGTACACCACATCATCGTCAAGACATAGATCAGTCTTCTGAAAGCGCTCCAAGAGGTAAGTACTACAACATGCATACTATTGGAGAAAATGTGCATGCTAAGGTTATTCGATCGCGTTATCGGTTACTGACCGTATACTCTGGGAAGTGGAAGTAACGGCCTCAGGCAAATAAGACTATGTGCAAATACCAGTTATGCAAAAGGGGAAAACGAAAGAGATCCGCAATGACTAGGTCCCTGACACCAACGTCATTAACGTGACTCCCGTAAGCACTAAGTCAGTGACAGCCAAGGAATGGTATACGATATAAGAACATAACTCGGGCCCACACTAAAGACAGGTCGGTCTTGCTGAGTACAATGTTTATCAGCGCAAAGATGCAGGCATATTGTGGAGCATGGAGGGGGCTGAGCACCATCTCAGTTTGGCCGACCATCAGCTTTACGGTGAACGCTACGCTACTTCATAGCGGCCACTCATCACTTCGGTAGGCTCTGGACCTGTCAGCGTCTAGTTCGGCTAGACGAGAAAGCTGGGATTGGCAATGCATTTGATCCTTCACATGCCCCTTGAGTAATACGTGAGTAGAATTTAGTAAAAGAAATTCCAGAAAGTAGTATGACAACGAAAGGACGGAATTCGGGACGAGTTCTTACTCCAGCATAAGCGTGTATTGAAGGACCTTTGCAGCTATATAAACTGGCATACGGCGCCTGCCTGTTGGTGTCTTTATCTGGGATATCGAGTTTCTCGCCTTTGGCTAGACAAATTCATATCGTTGATTCCGGTCACCGACACCCCACGAACATCGACTCGAAAGAACCTAGAATATATGAACGTTTCTGAGGATCTGACAATCATGCCGAAACCTTCTACCATCAAGTCCAGCATTTGTGGAAGGCTACTGCAGTTCCAAAGCATGGAGAAACTCGCAGAGGGCCAACGAACTGCCACTTCACTGACGGCAGAAAATAATGTGCAGACTCAGTACGGAGGTAACGACACGTCTGGTGTCCTCCAAATGTTTCCGTCCGCCTGGTTGCCATATTTCCAGCTCGTTCGGCTGTGGCCTCCAGCCGCGCTTCTGCTCGTTTTCTTCCCCCATGCATTTGGCATCCTGCATGCTGCAATCAAAATGCAAGCTCCAGCAGAGCACGTCTTGCGAGCCAGTATTACGGTATTTGGGGGCTGCTTCTTCTTCTCCAATGCAGCTCACACATGGAACGATCTTATTGACGCACCCTTGGACGCCCAAGTGGAACGGACACGAAAAAGACCAATTCCTCGTGGGGCCATCACACCAAAAGCGGCCATTATCTTCGGATCCACTCAGGTGCTAGGTGCTGTCATCTTCCTCGCATGTATGCCGTTAGGATTTTCGACTTCCGGCCTATACGCCTTACCAAACATCATCAGCACGACCTACTATCCGTTCGCTAAAAGGCACACTCGGTTCCCACAGCTCGTGCTGGGCTTTTGCCTCGCATGGGGTGTGGTCATGGGCGAGGTGGCTATGGGAGTGCAGCCCGTGTCTTACTCTCCAGACGCGGCCGGCTTCGCCGTTGACGCTCAGGTCATCTTCCTCGTGACAGGCACTGCTTTGTGGGTCCTCATCTATGACACAATATACGCACATCAGGACCTTCAAGCCGATCTGAAAGTTGGGATCAAGAGTTTAGCAGTCCTGCTGCAGGACCATACCAAAGCAATGTTGTGGCCCGTCCTGATGCTCATGACCGGTCTCCTAGTGGAAGCTGGCCGAGCAAGTGGGCTGGGGACATCGTATTACCTTTTTGCAGTGTGCGGGGCTAGTGTGTCTCTCGGTCTCATGGTCTGGTATGTAGATCTGCAGGATAGTCGGAGCTGTTGGTGGTGGTTCAGCAACGGCTTCTGGTGGACTGGGGGCGCTATCATGATCGGGTTGTTGGTGGAATATTCAAAACAGGTCAGATTTTAGCTTCCTGCGATGTCGAGGTCACTCCGGCTCAGGGTCCGACGAATTTGCGGTGCGGGCCGCCGAGAGCAGACATCATTCAGCCTGTACGCTAGAGTAGCTCTAGTCTGACTAGATAGTGGGTACAAAGCTAGAAGCTGTTGGTGGTCTTACTCGCTATTTTGTGACGTCTGATAATACAACGTAGGGCTTGGCAGAGATGGAATCTGAAGGCCAGCCTTCCTTTTTTGTTATGATATCGCGAG